ATGAAGAGCATATGATGTCGTATGGCCGCTATTGTGGCCACGTGGCCTTGGATTTCTGATAGTAAAGGAAAGTAAAGTAAAGGCCCTCCCATTGATCATCGATTTGCTCGAGCGGGCCCAGTAACTTCTCAATTGGAGACTTTGTTGTTACTGTCTCTGGCATATTGAATAAGTCACAGGGAGCTTGCCAGGCTCTGCCGTGGGGGCGAGATACTCTCGGTAGCTTGCCGGGCTCTCCGAGAGGGGTGGATTTCTGATATTTTAGAAATAAATCTAGAGGGCTTACTGCCAAAAGACACTGGGTTTTGAGATTGGCCTGTGTGTCTCTAGGATCTTGTGTCCTCTCAGGAGTGGGAATCTTTCCCACCGTTCCCGTAGAATCTGAGAATAAGCCCTGACTTGGAGAGCATCTTGTATCAACTCCCACTCACCTTAATTGCCGGGGAGGTTAATGTTTGGCAGATCAAGAACGACCAGACTTTTAAAAGATGTTCTCAGGGAGGGGCACTGCAACGAATGACACCAAGTTCTGACCTTGCGAGGGCTGCTGGGAAAGGCAAGTCAGGGGTTTTAGGAAATTTCTGAAATGGGGAGGAGTCTTCCTCTAAGTGGCTGGGAATTGCCACAGGTGTAGCCTCTTTCACGTACCAGATTAACACCTCCTCTGGACTACGGCCATCTGTAATTTTCCCCATATCAATTTTTTCTTATAGCCTACAAGATCTGAAATCAAATTTCATCACTTTTTTTCCTTGGTACCATGTAGAGGACGAAGAATTTTAGAAGTCAAGACAAGGAGAGTAAACTTGAGAGAAGACCAATGTTACGGTTTTATCGGCAAATTGTTCGTGTTGTAGGTGCTCTAAATTTGTCATGTTTTTAATAAATAATTTTATAGTTAGATTACACAACCATATGAATTAAAAAATAAAATGGTATTTGATAATTCAATACCTGCAAATTTAATACCATATAAGTTACATATCTACTGGTATTTCCCTCAAATCAACACACTCACACATGCACACATATACACACACACGCACATATGTGCTCGTTCAATCTGAAAGGCAGAATGAATGTATGTTGACAAAAGGCAGCACATTTCATGCAACAACCCCTGTTAAAACACTGTTCCTCAAAGGTCATTGTGTGTTACTTTGAATATCTTCGGCTCTGTAGGATAGTTCCAGTAACCCCTAGAACTGACGGGTCAGGGTGGCGCCTCATTCTTGGAGGCTGTCCTTCATGAAGTGCTGTCCTGTTGTCATGTTTCACCATATAGTCCCTAGAACCCCATTGTATTACTTGGAATATCGCAGTAGTTAAAACCCATTGCTCTGGGGCAGACACATTTTGAAGACAAAATAGTAACATGAATAATCACCAGGAGATACAGACTCAGAGAAAAGAAAATTAAAAACAAATGGTTCAAGAAGTGACATGACAATTTATTAAAGAGGCTTTCCCTGCTCCATTTCACTTTTCTTGCCCCTTTACGGAAGATTAGATGATCATATGTTTGGGAGGAGATGTCAGTATATTCAACTCTGTTCCATTGGTCTGCAGCTCTGCCTTTGTTCCAGTACCATGCTGTTTTAATTATTACTGCTTTGTAGTAGAGTTTGAAATTAGGGAGGTTGATTCCTACCATTTTCTTTTTCCGAAGAATTGTTTTATCTATTCGTGGGAGCTTATTGTTCCATATAAATTTCAAGAGTGTTTGCTCCATTTCATTGAAGAATGTCATGGGTATCCTAATAGGAATTGCATTGAATTTGTACAGTGCTTTGGGAACTATTGACATTTTGACAATATTGATTCGCCCATCCATGAACAGGGGATATTTTTCCATTTCCTTGTGTCCTCTTTTGTTTCCTGAAGTAGCGTTTTGTAGTTTTCTTAGTACAGGTCTTTTACTTCCTTAGTTAAGCTGATTTCCAGATACTTGATTTTCTGGGGCACAACTGTCAATGGGAATGTTTTTTCATGTCACTTTCTTCTCTTTCACTATTTGCGTATAGGAAAGCCATGGCCTTTTGGGTATTGATTTTATAGCCTGCCACTTTACTATACCAGCCTATTGTTTCCAGGAGTTTCTTGGTAGAGGTTTTAGGGTTCTCTAAGTATAGTATCATATCATCTGCGAATATCAGAGCTTAATTTCTTCTTTCCCTATCTTGATGCCCTTAATATCTTTTTCTTGTCTAATCGCTCTTGCAAGTACGTCCAGTACGATATTGAACAGTAGAGGAGAGAGTGGGCATCCTTGTCTCGTCCCTGACATTAGGGGGAAGGGTCTCAGTTTTTCCCCATTGAGAATGATGTTTGCTGTAGGCTTGTGGTAGATGGCTTTAACTATGTTGAGGAAAGTCCCCTCTGGACGGCTACATGCAAAAAAGTGCGCTCAGATTTCTGCCTAACGGCGTGCACAAAAGTAAGATCGAAATGGATATATGACCACAACATCAGACCGGAATACATAATGTTTATTGAAGACAAAGTTGGCAAAACTCTCCATGATATTGAAGCTAGTGGTATCTTCAAAGATGTCAGGCCCCTGGCCGAGCAAGTGAAAACAGAGATAGACAAACGGGACTATCTTAAACTAAGAAGCTTCAGCACCTCAAAAGAAACAGTGACCAAAATACAAAGACAGGCTACAGAATGGGAAAGGATATTCACCAAATACACATCCGACAAGGGGTTGCTATCAAGGGTATACAAGGTACGGGTTGAACTCCACAAGAAGAAATCACCCAACACCATCAATAAACGGGATGAGGAAATGAACAGAAATTTTCGCTAGGAAGAAATCCGAATGGCAAAAAGGCACATGAGAAAATGCTCTACATCACTAATCATCAGAGAGATGCAGAACAAAACAACAATGAGATAGCATTTCACACCACAGGGACTGGCCCACAACCACAAGGAAAAAAGCAACCGGTGCTGGCACGGATGTGGCGAGAAAGGGACCCGCCTTCACTGCTGGTGGGAATGTCGGCTTGTCCAACCTTTTTTGGAAAACAGTATGGACGATTCTCAAAAAATTAGAATTAGATCTGCCATTTGACCCAGCTATAGCACTCCTGGGAATATATCCCAGAGAGGCAAAAAGGTATAGTCGAAGTGACATCTGCAAATGTTTGTTCATTGCAGCACTCTTTACAATAGCCAGAATCTTGAAAAAACCTGAGTGCCCAAGAACAGATGACTGGTTAAAGAAACTCTGGTACATTTGCACAATGGAGTACTATGTAGCTGTTAGAAAAGATGAGGTTATGAAATTTACATACAAGTGGTACTACATGAAAGTATCATGTTAAGCGAAATGAGTCAGAAAGAGCGGGATAGATACAGAAAGACTGCATTCATCTGGGGAATATAAAGCAACAATACGGAGACTAACACCCAGTGATGGGTGAGATTAGTACCCGGAATTTTGCTCCATGACTTGAAGGCCAGCCATACGTGCTAGGTGAAAAGGAATCTCAGACAGAGAAGAGAGCACCAAATAAAGGGTGTTGTGAGACCCTCCCAAGGTGGGAGAAGCATGCTAAAGGTAGTCTATAGACCAAACATGATTGCCACTCAAGGCCTCCATACAAAACACAGTACCCAAAAGAAGAGAGAGAGAACAAAGGGGAATGCCCTGCCACTGAGGCAGGGTGGGACGGGGGTATGGGGGGTGGGAGGGATGGTGGGACCCGTGGTGGTGGAGGATGGGCACTGGTGGAGTGATGGTTACTTGAAACCCAAACACAAAAGTTTATGACTCTATAAGTGTACATCATGGGGTTTCACTAATAAAATTAAATAAATTAAAAAAATAAAGAAGCGACATGAAGGTGGCTTGGAGGAAAGTGAACTGTAGTTCCTTAAAATCTGGCTTTGCTGGTGTTGATATATTCTGCCATATATCAATCTCCTTAATATTACATGTAATATTAGAGCAACAGATCTACACATTATTACTTCCTTTCTTTTTCAAATTTTATTACTTCACTATAATTTAACTTAAAAACACCTATCAAATAATAGACTCATGTTTCTTTGAAATCATTTCATTGAAAAATTGTCTCTAAGGTTATGTGGAGACATTCACAGGTATTACTAATTAAACCTGTGTTTGACTTGAGAAATGTATCATCATTTTTGTTCCCTTTTACATTTTACATTAAATTATAGATATACTTGGAAATGAAAAGTATATCTGTATATATTTGTTATAGCGATAAATTCCTGGTAGATTGCTTATGAATAAAGTGAATTTTTCTGTGATTCCCATAAATGTTTCTGAATGAAATTTTTCTGACAACAAAATTTTCTATGTATATATAACATGGCATTGTGAAAATTTTATACAAAAAAGAGAGAAGACCAAAAGAAACCACAAGGACATTAGTGCTAAAACTTTATTCCATTTTACTCATAGTGAAAAGATTAATATAGTTATAGGTGTCTGTAGTCCTGAAAAGACATTTCTCTGGTATCTGGAAGAGGCACAGCTGTGGCAATTCCCAGCCTCTGCTGGTCAGACCCCTCCATATCTCAAGAACCTCCAGGAATCCCTGCCGACTCTTTCCCAGCAGGCCCTCAAGGCTGCAACTCTGCGTTCTTCATTGTACTGTTCCGCCCCCAGAACCTCTTTTAAAAGGCTGGTCCCTCCCCTCCTGACCTACAGACTATCAAAGATCCCTGCAAGAAAGGTAAGTGGGAAAAGATGCAAGACACTCGGGGAGGAGGGAAAAGATTCCCACTCCCAAGAGGACACAAGCGCTGTCAGACTCAGCAGTGATAACTCTGTGAGGCATCCTGGGAAGAATATTCACAATATCAAATCTGCTCTGTCACCATACTGGGAGATATTAATCATCTGGGAATTAAACAAATACAACAGGGAGATGGAGCAGTGGCTTCTCTGCTTGCCTCCTGCCTAACCCAAATTCCATGCGTTCTTCTGACAGCCTTCTCCCGTGAGAGAAGATGCTGCTCCCATGACCACTGTTGCTTGGATGGTGCTCGCCTGCCTGGTGCTCCAAGCCCGGGTGAAAGGTAAGCGTTCCCACATCCAGCCCCTGTGTTGTGGGAAACTCAGGTACGAGAGCACAGTTTGGGCATTTTATAAAATCCAAGTGATATAGTGGAATAGATGATTCCTCGTCGAATGTTTCTGGTGACACTTGAAAGCATTCTGAATGTGTTAGAAAGGCTGAGGATGGCCATGGTCCATTACTCCAAGTACTGCCCTCATGCATATCCCCATGATGCTTTTTCCAACAAAATACCCATTCTTCTTTTTCACTCCGTCACTCCTTTACATTTTCCTTTGTCAGGGGAAGACCTGCAGAATGAAGAGCTGTCTCCAAAAGTCAGGTGCCCCAAAGGCTCCACGGCCTATGGCCACCACTGTTATGCCTTTTTCAAGACAGAAAAATCCTGGATGGATGCGCATGTGAGTAACTGTACTTGAAACTGGAATATTTATTCCTGTGTGCAGGGACGAGAGGGGCTTAGACAGTGGGAGTTCACGGGAGCTTCCATTTTATTGACACATACTAGGTAGAATGACACGCACAATTCACAGTACACCTGCTGTTGCTCATCTTCTCCGCTTCTTAAGTCCTAGTGTAATGCATGCTTCTCCCAATCTCTTTCTTCCTCTCCTAGACGGAATGCCAGAAACGTCGCAATGGACACCTCGTGTCTGTGCTCACTCAGTCTGAGGGCTACTTCGTGAGCTCCCTCATCAAGAACAGTGGGGCAGCACCCCCTCTTGTCTGGATTGGTCTCCATGACAGCACAGAGGTGAGATTACATCTTCTGTTCACGGGTAACTGTACAACTCCATTTGCCATCATGAGTCATCTGATTCCCTTAGTCTGCCCAATCATTAGACCAGGCCACCCTGAAATCCAGAGTATTCAGATGCTCTTCTGGAGAACCAAGCCCTGAGCCCATCTGAAGTTGTGCGTTGTATGACATGGCCTCATCTCTAGTTATATCAATCCCCCTTTTCAAACAATGTGTACTGAAGACTTCCTAAATCAAGATTCTTGTTGCGCCCAGTGATGGTGCCTAAGATGTGCTGAGTTGTTGACCAATGAAGGGTGTGTACACTGTCCACTACAGAATCTACATGACCTTTGAGGCCAGTGGTGCATAGCCTGGATTGCACCACATGTTGTGCTAAACAATCCTTGCTCCTTTCAGTGGTATTGGTGACTTTGATTCTTACACACTAGATCAAGTCTTTAGAGAGAATTTTCAGATCTCCTCTCCAAATCTCCTCCATAAAGACACAAGCAGATTATCTGGTGCCGGGTGTCACTCAGGGATTCCAGTGAAGCTGCGGCCAGAGCATCTCAGGAGCAACTGAGACTCGGGTGTCCATCTGTCCTATCTTCACAGACTCAACCCAATGCAGGTGGATGGGAGTGGAGTAATGGCGATGTGTTGAACTATCAGGCCTGGGAGAAAGGAGGCCCTACCAATACCGGGTTCTGTGGGGCCCTTCTTAGCCGCACAGGTAAGAACAAACAAGTTTTTATGTTTACATCTGTTCCACTTCTGACATATCCCCAAAACCAGTTTCTAAGCCTGACCTTTTGGAAGGGGGGACATTTCCTGAATTCAAACTCACTTGCACTTTCCAGTCTCTCTCTGCTCTCTTTTCTCTGAGCCCCTTCTCCTTGGAGCAGGATTATGACACACAAAAAAGAGGGATGGACTTTGGCCCTGTCTGTGTTGCCTCTCTCTCATGTTTCCAGCTTTAAGCATTCCACTCATCTCTCCTTTTCTTGTCTCTTTAGGCTATGAAAAATGGCAAAATTATGACTGTTGGATTGTAATGCCGTACGTCTGCAAGTTTGAGAGCTAAATCCGGTTAGAAATGTACAGGCTGAATCCACATGCAGCCTCTCAAAGATATTCTTCCGGTCTTAAAAGGCATTCGAGAAGGAAATATCCACCAAATTTCAAGCCTGGACACCACGTCCCTTATACCTCCTCCCCAGTCTCACTGAATGTCTTTCTTTTATGTTTAAAGCCTGGTTTGTCAAATAATTACAATAAACACTTCTATCCACTTCTATCTCTTGAGTTCTGTTCTCAGACCATCACTAAATAATAACTGTACCTGAGAGAAATCTCGTTCTTCCTTTATCCACCTTCATCCTGATCCCTAGGATCCTGACTTCATCCACATCCCTAGGAAAATTCCAGTTGTAAATCCCAACTGATTGTCCAGAGCATACCACTGCAAAGATGCTTGGCATAAGTCTTGGTTTCTGAAGTCTGAGAGGCTAAGTCTCACCCTGGAAACCCACTCAGCTGTGCTGTCTCGACTCACACTGTGAGCTCTACTGGGACATTCTAGACCAACCCCCATCTCCCCCCCCCCCCCCTCCACTGCCACCTTGACTCGTTTGACTCATAGTTCAGCTCACTTTTAATTTTTTTCACCATCCGTGAAGTAGACCTGGGTTGGCCTTGGGTCCAATACCTGTGTCACTGCTTTTTCCCACCCATAAGTTTCTGCAATCTTTAGGTCCTTTTTATGTAAGCATGATGTGCTGATGTTGTTCACACTGCCCTGCCATCTCCTGTGCCGGTGTTAGTAACTCATGCATGTTTCGGTCTTCCTGTAGTGTGGTATTTACAGGACAACACCTCTGAGCTCATTCGTTGAACATAGTATTTCATGATTTTTTAGTCCACGGCAACAGCAGAGTTGCTCCATTCTTTTGCTCATCTAGATTTGCTTCAAATTTCCCAGAAATAACCAAACTATAAGACGCAGAACCTTCTGCCTAAACAGCCAAGAGACACACACAATTTATGAATCCCAAGGCTGTGCTATCCGCGACTCTCACTGGAGGCTTCAGCTGTGTCCATCTGATGACTGAACCTGCATTCAGTTCATTGACTTGCCTACATAGTTCAGCTCCCTTTTAATTTTTTTCACCATCCATGAAGCAGAGTCTTGGGTCCAATACCTGAGTCACTCCCTTTTCCCACCCATAAGTTTCTGCAATCTTTAGCTCCTTTTTATGTAAGCATGATGTGCTGATGTTGTTCACACTGCCCTGCCATCTCCTGGGCCGGTGTTAGTAACTCATGCAAGTTCCGGTCTTCCTGTAGCGTAATATTTACAGGAAAACACCTCTGAGCTCTTTCGTTGAACATAGTGTTCCATGTTTTTTTTGATCCACGGCAACAGCAGAGTTGCTCATTGTACCTGAGATCGACCATATGTAGTTTGATCAACAATTGGCACAGGCTGCTGTGTGATGTGAACACAGTGCCACAGTGCTGCTATGCCTGTAGGTGCAGTGGACATCATGAAAATCCAGGTGTGTTATGGGAACCATCAGGCATCAAGTCAAAGTCAGGACATGATACCCATCTGTCTCCTATTTGTAGCATCTGACTGGTCCAAAATTAAGGCATTTATCCTCAGTTCTCTATGTGCCCTGGATTATAATTTTATCCAAACCATTGAAAGTTGTATCTTGGAATTTTACTTCCCAGGCAGAGTAGTACAAATCCTTGTATTTTTTGTACTGGACATTCATGTAAATGAACAAATTTTTATTTGCTTTTCACCCTGATAGCTGCAATCACCAGAATCTAGAGGGTCCTTCCATCTATCGGTACCTAGAGAGAGAGAAAGCTACTTGAGTCTCAAACTGTTGGAAATTGTGGATAGTGTTTTTGTTACTTGCTTTGGATAACCTCCCAAAGAAATCTCTTTGGTTGTGATCTCAGTAATATTCAGCCCCTTTAATGTGTTTCTACTTTGTATTCTGTCCAATTCCATTGATGACAAAATAAATCATCAGTTTGAAAAACATCCTAACAAAATCTCACATGCCAACAAATCTCCACAAAATCCCACCCTAAAATCTCCTCTTAGAAAAGCATCAATGGTTATCAACAGTTGAAATTCTTTTGAACTTAAGAATATGCTGCTTTGGGGCTGGAGCAATAATACAGCGGGTAGAGCATTTGCCATGCACACGGCCGACCCTGGTTCGATTCCCACCAACCTATATGGTCCCCCAAGCCCACCACGAGTGATTACTGAGTGTATGAACCAGGAGTAACTCCTGTGCATTGCTGGGTGTGACCTAAAAAAGCCAAAAAAAAAAAAAAAAAGAATATGCTGCTATGTAGGAAGAACTGTAGAATTAGAGCTTGAACCTAAAGTAAAACTTGCTAAAGTATTTGGTGTAGAAACCTCATGATTTGAAAGAACTAAGGTATAAAATCTATTGAAATCAAGTCAAAAACGTTTTCCTCATGTTTCGTAAAAATTGGCTCCAAGTTTTTAATGCTATATGTGTGTGTGTGTGTGTGTGTGTGTGTGTGTGTGTGTGTGTACTGTCACTGACCTACCAGATGTGAGGGCGATCTGACTGCAACATCTGTCGCCCCATTGATCACCAGGGTTGTTTCGGCTGATCTCGCTGGCTAGGCGAATGTCCCCTTCCTCCCTCACCGCTCCATGTGCATCCCTTCCGAAGCTGCGTGCTCTTTCGAAGAGGACATAACATACTTCCCCGAATAGAGATATAGAGATGGATTGGTCTTCAGCGGAGGGTATACAAGTAACTGCGCTTCCCTGCTAGAACCTCCAAACAAGCATATGTGTTTATGTGTGTGTGTGCGTGTGTTTGTGTGTGTGTATCGTTGTTCTTGATTGTTTGCTTGCATCTGCATTGCATTGGATTGTTAAAATGAGAGTTGAATAATTGTGGTATCTAAAAACAGGTTCAGGGGCTGGAGCAATAGCACAGCGGGTAGGGCGTCTGCCTTGCACGCATTCAACCCGGGTTCGATTCCCAGCATCCCATATGGTCCCCCAAGCACCGCCAGGAGTAATTCCTGAGTGCAGAGCCAGGAGTAACCCCTGAACGTTGCTGGGTGTGATCCAAAAAGCAAAATAAAATAAAATAAATCACAATCACAAATCACAAATCATCCTGTTAATTGTCGATTGCCTCGAGCAGGCCCCAGTAACGTCTCCTTCATCCTAGCCCTGAGATTGTATTCAAGGCTCTTTAGGAGAATGAGACCCATCATTGTTACTGGTATTTGGCATATTGGGTACGACACAGGGAGTTTGCCAGACTCTGTGGTGTGGGCAGGCTACATTCGTTAGCCTGCCAGTTTGTCCAAAGTAGGAATGAGATAATAAGATGTCATAATAGAATGTCAGGACAGGGATGAAAGCTTAACCCACTCCCCTCCAAGGGGCCCCAGCGGCGAGGACAGTCAGACACGGGGGCAGGAGACTGCACTGATCTTCTTCCGGGAGCTGGTTTTTATAGTCTCTGAGTCTTGGCCGTTGATGGGATTACACGGCGCCAGGGGGCAAGTTGATGGTTGTGACCACCGCCTACTGGAATTTGGAGGGTCTGGGTGGAGGATGCTCGGCCCAAATCCGAGTAGGCTTGGAGATCTCGGCCCCGGAACCGCGTGACTTTGTCCCTCTGCCAGTACCTTCATGTGTGCGGAGAGTGGTCTCAGCATGGTGGTGGCTGGTCCTGGAGGTCTTTGGCTGTCGGAGCCCTGGTTGGGGCGGGGAGGAAAGCGCAACCCGCTCCCCTCCAAGGGGCCCCAGCGGCGAGGACAGTCAGGCACGGGGGCAGGAGAGAAAAGGTACTGGTATTGTTCAAAACATGAGTTTCTAGATTTATAAATTTGGTTGCAAAAGTTATCCTACCAGGGCTCAAGCAATAGTACAGTGGGTAGGGCATTTGCCTTTCACATAGCCAACCTGGGTTAGATCCCCAGCATCCTATATGGTCCCCTGAGCACCGCCAGGAGTGATTTCTGAGTGCATGAGCCAGGAAAACCCCAGTGCATCGCCGGGTGTGACCCAAAGAAAGCGAAAAAAAAAAAAAGCTATCCTAGCAGTGTTTTATTTGATCTGAGACTTTTTGAAGCTAAAATTTCTAGAGCTAATTAGCAACCTTATGATGGGTTGTTTATAAACCGTCATAAGATTTTCAGAGCCTGGGAAGCGACCCAGCAGAGCCTGGCAATCTACCTGTGTATTGTTTGATATGCTAAAAGCAGTAACAATAGAGCCACCAATATGCCATTGGATAGCACAGCGGGTAGGGCATTTGCTTTGCACACAGCCAACCTGGGTTCGATTCTCAGCAACCCATATGGTCTCCTGAGCACCGCTAGGAGTAATTCCTGAGTGCAGAGCCAGGAGTAACCCCTGTGCATTGCCAGGTGTTACCCAAAACCAAAAAGCAAAGAACAAAACAAAACAATATGCCATTCGGCTACAGTGGCGCATGACGGGGTCAAATCTAGACATTACTGGTGTCCACTCGAAAAAATGAATGAACAATGGGAGGACAATGGCACCGTGCCAAGGATTTGGATTCAGGCATGTTTTCAATGATTGAATTGCACTAGAAACCATAACAAAAACAAAAAAGGGCCTGTGGAAAATTCACTGTCACTGTATCACTCTCATCCCGTTGCTCATTGATATCCTCGACCAGGCACCAGAAATGCCTCTATTCGTCCCAGTCCTGAGATTTTAGGAAGTACCACACTGAAGTCTCTTTCAGGATCGGGGGAAGAGACCCATCGTTGTTACTGGGTTTTCGCACATCGAATTCGCCTCGGGGAGCTCGCCAGACTCTGCCATGTGGTCAGGATACTCTCAGAGCCTTGCCAGCTTCTCCGAGAGCGAGAACTAGACAAGCGGCCCCACTTCCGGGAGCTTGGTTTTATAGCCTCTGAGTCTTGGCCATTGATGAGATTACACGGCACTGGGAGCGGTTGGTGGGTGTAACTGCCTAGCTACTGGAAGATGGGGGATCTGGGTGGAGGATGCCCAGTCCGGATCCG